TTTTCTGTATTAAGTACATATCTTGGCCTTCTCATGTAACCTGCCTAAATAATATATTTTGCAAGATGAACTATCTGTAAATTGACCATATGTCTTAGTTTTTCATATGACGACCTACTGTCCCAAGACTTTCTTTATAGAAAACTGAAAGTTGTCAGTTCATTTCATTTCATCTCTCTCAGCATTTTTTTTAAATTACATTTTTTTTCCAGGATGGAATGCCACGGGTTAAAATAAGTGAGTGTGGGGGTAGCATAGCTCCTTCTTCACTCCCTGATTTTGGCTACTCCTTATCCTCCTTGACTGATGCTATTAGAGAGTTTTGTTTTCTGTTTCTTTCTGCTCTACTGACTGCACATTGGTATTTTGTTCTGTATTTAGCAGGAACCAACAACCCAGTGGAATAGTTGTTGTACAGTGCTTGCAGGGAAAAGCTAAATGAGTGGAGACACTACCTAAGTTTTTCTTTTGCTCAGAGAGAATGCTAATGATATGTTCAGTTTCATGATAAACTCTCTCAGAGCACCAGATTATTGGAAAACTTCCTCCCCTCTGACAAATATGCACAAGGCTGTTGAGTCAGAAGCTGTCAATAGCAGCACCAGCACACATTAAAATAGTACTGATCTGTTTAACAAGAGTCTTTCACAACCCCCCAAAATGTTGCCACAAAACCATCCTTTGTTTTCTTTTTTACAAATATGCCACCTCACCTATTTGTGCCAGATATTTTTGTTGTAACCCAACCTGGAGAAGGGACACAAGTGCACTTGCCTGCCAGAGAGCTGCATTTCCAACAGCCAGCCCCTCCCCACATACATTTTGGGTCTCACACCTACCAGCACCAATGTCAGGTCTCTTAGGACAGGCCTAAAACCCCTGCTTTCCTGCAACGACTTCCACCTAGGACAAGGGAGGTATTGGCATAACCACTTTTTCCAGCTGTTCTGCCACTCTGATGTCATTCTCATCCACAGAACCAGCTCAGTACAGTAACTCCCCACTTAAAGTCATCCCGGTTAACGTTGTTTCATTGTTACGTTGCTGATCAATTAGGGAACATGCTCATTTAAAATTGTACAATGCTCCCTTCTAACATCGTTTGGCAGCCGCCTGCTTTGTCCACTGCTTGCAGGAAGAGCAGCCCGTTGCAGCTAGCTGGTAGGGGTTTGGAACCAGGGTGGGCCGGCAGCCCCCCATCAGCTCCCCACTCCCCTAAGTTCCCTGTGCTGCAGCTGCCCAGCAGGCTAGCAATCAGCAGTTCAGCTTTCCCTCCCCCAACTGCCATGTGCTGCTCCTGCCCTCTGCCTTGGAGCTGCTCCCCAAGCCTCCTGCTTGCTGTGTAGGGGAGGGGGGTAGGAGGGGACTAATGTCAGACTGGATTCGAGTCCATCATCCACTGACTTTACCACCATTTGCTTTGCACAGCAGATTTTTATTGATGCCATTGTTACTTCTTGACTCATCATGATGCCCCCAATCTTCCTCCTAATCTTTATCTGAATGTTTCCCTCCTTGCCTGTCCTTAGCCCGTCGCTCATCTCCCAGTCTTTCCCTCCAATCCTTTCACCCCAACTACCCTATTGCACCCTGCCATCTCCCTCCCTCCATCTAATCTCAGCCATTCTCAAATCCGTCATCAATTCCTTCACTCTCATTATCTTAAAAAGTAAACAAACAAACAAACCACAATCTAATTAACTAACTAAAACCTTAAGTAGCCAGTAGAGAGAGTAGGTGGGTGAGGTAATATCTTTTATTGGAGCAACTTCTGTTTGTGAGAGAGTAAGTAACCTGTAAACAATCATGAATTGTATTAAGAAAAATTTCAAAATCCACTATTCCTTATGGAACCCTTTATACCTCCAAGATGTGTGGTTAACATAGCAGAGTAGCCACGTGATTTACCATAATCTTTTTCCTCTCCTCTTCACCCTTATTGTTTGTCAAGTCACTTGTGTGTCATGTCTGAAGTTAGAGTGTAACTTTGCAGGGCAGAGATTGTGCTCTTCTGTGTATTTATACAACATCTAGAACAATAGAGCCCTGATCCTTGATTGGGGTTCCAGGCAACACCATAACACAAATAATAGTAACAATTATGTCATGAAGGAGCGTAAGTGCTTGTAGACTAATTCTTCAGTCTCTCTCCTACCATAACTACTCTGCAGTTCTTCCCTAAATCTCTGTTGGTAACAAATCAAAATCAAGCAGCTATGTATCAGCGATGTGTGCACCGCTAGACTGCACATGCACTACCACTTATAAAGGTACAAACCCTCGCCACAAATCTCAGATCTGGTATAAGATTTTTTTTCAGAGCCATCTATGTACCACTACATTTGGGAGTGTTTGGGTCTAGGTTTTTGAATCAGGCCAATATCTACACCTAATATGGCACCTGCAAGAGTAAAGTTGGATTAGAAAGGCCGGGTGGAGATAGTGAGACTTGTGTGAATGAAGAGAAAAACGTTTGAGGACCAGACTAAAGTAAGATAAACAGACAGTAAAATTTCTGCAAGTATCTACTGAGAGAGAATCTATTTGGTCCTATTGTTGCTTCTCTTCTTTTATTTCATTATTTGTGCTGCCCCACCCCCTCTGGTCAAAGGAGAAATTTTAAAAGTGTGTGTGTATTCATCAGTGTCTTGTAAAATAATAAAAAGAAATGGACTAATAGCTCCCTTTAATCCCAACAGTGCTTGGATTTCATGATTTAAGGCTTACACTACAAGCTGAATGTGATTTTTTTAACAATTATGATGTTCACCATCAAAGTGAGCTTGCTCACTAGGCAGGTTTCCCCAGAGCCTTGCATGGTAGTTCTATAAATAATCAACTGGTAGCTCCACCTAGTGTCTTCTTAATTCACCAGTGAAACAAAACATTCACGATTGACAAAACATAAGCAAACCACAAAAACACTAGTTTCAACTGGACAGTAGCCATAAATGGCATCCTATTAGGATATCTTCATTAAAGTCAAAACCATATTCTGTTACTATCATGTGATCAGAGCCAACCAGCATTCCTCCAACAAGGAGCAAGTAATGGCTTCAGCACTGTAAATATAATGTATTCAGTGTGAAAACAGTTTTGCTGCTATCCTGCAAAGGTGAAGGGTGCTTAAATTGTTTATTTGGGAAACACACTCTACTATATTTAAAATTAACTACACAGAAAATTACCCTTAAGCCTGACAGAGCTTTTCTGGAACAGCATGACAGTGAACTTTTAGAATCACTGAACAACTGTGGCCATATAAACAGAAGATTAATTTTGGCCACATAAAGAAGTGCTTCTCTTCTCCCAATAGTTAATTTAAAATGTCTCTCTAAAGCGATCCAAGAAAAGAAATGATCAACTATCCAGCAGTCTATTAGTTTTACTAATCTTTATCTCAAAAACTTTTTAAAGGCTAGTTCACCACTATGTATCTGGAGATTATCTTGCCCCCTCAACCAACAGAAGTTGATCCAATAAAATATATTACCTCACATACCTTGTCTCTCTCATGTATTTTGAAGCAGTTATCTTTTTAAAATAGCTATAGCTCCACTCAGGTTAGTAACAGTTTTAAACTAAAATATAAACTATTCAAGGTAAAGTTAGAACACACTAATATACAGTATGCAAAAAACATACTTTATATATAGTACTTTCAAAGAGAATATCTAATATGGGGGAGGGGGAAGTTTAAAGAGAGCATATTGTATCCTAAACTGAGCAAATTAATTTACCATAATCTTATTTTATGGGCTATTAAGTTTGCTACTGTACCTAAGGAGAAAAAATATCCTGGATCTTGGTAACACTCACAAAACACCAAATTTACTTATTATTCCCAGAACAATCTACTCCAATATAGTTGACACCTGTTTTAAACAATCACCTGTTCTAAACTGCTCGGGGTGGGGGGGGGGGGGAGAAGAGTGTTTCACCCTAGTGGTGATAACATATATTTCAGTATATAGAGTATATACTTAACTCTCTGTGTCATGATGAGCAGAGAGAGAGAGAGAGAAGGGGAAGGTGTTTACAAGGAAATTATATGCATTGAAAAAGCAGCTTTAAATGACCTCAAACTTTCTTTTTACAGTCAGTTGAAACTTATGCTTATGACTCATCTATTTTAAAGTATTTACAACTGCAATCCCATGACTGTATAAAAACATACTGCAGCATAGAAAATGAATTTAATAAAATGCATAAGAGAATACTCTCTGATGTTTCAAAAATAAAAGAATACTCTAATTTTCAATAATTTAGCATTTGCTATCATTCCTCATTAAAAGCTTTCAAAATCCTATCTGAAACAAGCTGATACAGAGAAATTAAGAGCAGTAATCAAGCAAGAAACGATGGACCAGCTGGGTAGATATCAAGTTGGCAAAACGTGAATACAGTTCAATAGCAGAAACAGATGCTGGAGTTGTTGAAAAACCCTGCAGGAGATATTGATGTATTTTCTTCATATAATACTGAACAACTGAATGAAAGTCAAGGGCTAAAAACTGATAAGAAGAAAAAAAAACTAACTATAAAACAGCAACCTGCAATATTTTTTTCATTATATCAAAACATTCAATATATGCACCTTCATTTCCTCAGTATTCCTGAATATGCCAATATATCAATTAGAGCTTGCTACTGAATTATATGGAGCCTTCGTCAGGGTTAGGTTTGGTGTGTGTTTGTTTCTATCTACCTGAAGCTGCACAGACTCTTAGGAAATACTTTATTCTGTAATCTCATCCTAACATAATGCTCTCTTTCAGGCAAGTGGCTCCCTGAGGTTGGAGGAAAGCACACACACGGAAATGTTACACAAGCATAAATGCAATTCAAAGATCCATTTTGCAAAAGAAACATTGTTTTCAGAGTTTCAAGACCTCAGCAACAAATCCTCTGCCATCAGCTGTAGCTTGTCCTAACATATGCTTTGTCACGGTCAGTTTCTAATTACATTCATAATGATGCAATGGCTTTGATAATCCTACCTTCCATGCCAGCTGCTTTTCTTGTCACTCCATCATGCCAATAAGTTGGCTGCTGTAACAAATCAAGATAGTGCAAAACAGCATCTTTTCCCTGCATCTGTCATCTTCCTGAAAGCATTCTCTTACTGCCGACTGCTGGGAACCAGAAAGTCTATTTGAATTCCAACAGCTCCCCTTTCGCATGATTCAAGTTAGGTTAGGTGGGCATGCCTAACATGATTCTTTCCGTCATTTATTATGCAGCTGCTACACTGTCGGTGTGGTAACCACTCTGACTTTATCTGATACGTCAGTCTCACAGATCTGTACCTCAGTGCAAACACACGTGAGCCATAGCAGCATCCTGCATTTAATGAGCATTCTCCCTGGCTAAAAACTGTGTATCTGCAAATCAGTTTCAAATCCTAGTGTTCACATTGTCCTCTAATGCTAATGTTCAGGTTTAGGCTTTTTCTTTTTTTAATTTTTGTCCTTTTTGTTACTTCCTTTCAGAAAGCACTATTTCTCTCCTGCACACTCTCAAATTAGTCATACTTCAGTTAAATGTTTGCTGATTTGTCTGAAACTATACAGCACCTTTACAGTGAAACTCTCTGCTCTAAAGATACTTTTAAAATAATAGCACTGTTTATTCAGGTTCTCAACTCTGCTTCATTATAGGGATGAGTTTTACAGCATGCATCTCAGCAAATTCTATTCACATCTCTTCATTCTATTGAATGGCTCCCTAATGAGAGTCTGGTGGATTTGTAAGCAAATTTGTCTACGTCAACCTGTAGGTGACTTTTGTGCTTGATTTTTATGATTTATGCATTTTAGCAGAAGACAGTTCTCACAATTCTGTGTTACTCGCATCTTAGTATCCTTAAAGTGATACTGTACTGCAGTTAAAATAAGTGAACACAAGCTGATCGGTTTCATTCACCAGTCTGTAGAGGGCATTCCACAATGATTAAAGTTCACTTATCTGATTGTGAGGGTCTTGTGAATAAAAGGAAATGGGATTTGTTTTGTTATCTTTTAGTTAGAATATCTCGGATGGGGGGTGGGTGGGAAGAACACGCACGCATCACTGATTTTAAAAATAACTTTAATAGACATTGACATATACACATCAATCATCTACCAAATTTCATTAACTGCATCTCATCCCACCACTTTTGTCTGAGTCTCATTGGAATTCAGAACCCAAGTGTTTTAAGTTTAGTGCATCTGCTTGTCAGTAAACTGAATAAAAGAATAAACCTGTACTGAAAGTGTGAATGTTGAAATCAGAAAAAAGTGACATTATAAAAGAACACAAAAACAACTGGTTAAAACTATTAGTCACGTAAGTGAAGCAGAAGGGAACATTGGGAGAGCCATTCTTAGGGAAAGATTTTGTTTGCCCTTTTTACATGTGGTAGGGTAGGGTAGGTGGTGGGGGAGAGCAGAGAGGAGTCTATGGAGCCTTCCCCTGCTCTCTAGACAACCATGTAGCAGTGTTACCAACTCACCATTTTATTACAAGACTCACAATATTTGGTGGTTTTCTTAAAATCCCAACTCCTGAAGTCGAATAATACATGAGAATCTCAGCTTTCTTTTTTTAAAAACTAAGTTCCTTCTCTGCAATCATGAGGACTAAAGGCTGAAAATATGCCCCTAACTGTACTCTAAAGCAGAGGTGGGCAAACTTTTTGGCCTGAGGGCCACATCTGGGTATGGAAATTGTATGGCGGGCCATGAATGCTCATGAAATTGGGGGTTGGGGTGTGGGAGAGGGCTCCAGCTGGGGGTGCAGGCTTAGGGGTGGGGCAGGGAATGAGGGGTTGGGGGTACAGGAGGATGCTCTGGGCTGGGACCAAGGGGTTCAGAGGGCAGGAGGGGGATCAGGGCTGGGGCAGGAGGTTGGGGCGCAGGAGGCGGTCAGGGGTGCAGGCTCCAGGTGGTGCTTACTTCAAGCAGTTCCCAGAAGCAGCGGCATGTTCCCCCTTCGGCTCCTATGTGCAGGTGCAGCCAGGCAGCTCTGCACGCTGCCCCGTCCACAGGCGCCACTCCTGTAGCTCCCACTGGCCACAGTTCCCAGCCAATGGGAGCTGCAGGGGTGGCACTTGGGGCAGGGGCAGCACGCAGAGCTGCCTGGCCGCATCTGCACATAGGAGCCGAATCGGGGAGATGTCGCTGCTTCCAGGAGCCACGTGGAGTGGGGTAAGCCCCACTCCCCACTAGGAGCTCAAGGGCCAGATTAAAATGTCTGGAGGGCCGGATGTGGCCCCTGGGCTGTAGTTTGCCCACCCCTGCTCTAAAGGCTCAGAAATCAGAAAGCAAATAGAAAGAATCCCCAGTTTTTAAAATCTCATGATTTTTAATGCACTTCTGTGATTATTTTTAAGCCTGTTTCATGATATTTGAATATTTGAGGTTGGCAATACTCTTTTAGGGTCAGGTGCAACTGCGAGAACTGCTCCCTCCCAAAGGGAGTAAGGACATAATAATGTTACATTGTATTACATACTTAGATTGTGTCTTCACCCACACCCCCATGTACTGGCTAGCATAGGTGGCCACCCACACAGCAGGGAGCAGGCACAAACCCTCAGTATGCCTGGGAGCTTCACGAGGCATTCTGTCTCCTGGAGGCAGGCTACCTCTAAGTGTTCCTGAGAGCCGCTATGGACTATGGTTAAGTGGCACAATCTATCCCTGAATGAGCTAACGTAACATGATGTCGTTTATCTCAGGTACAATATTTCTGGTGCACTAGGAATAAAATGTCCTTTTAGAAATTTCATGTAAATAAGGCAGAATTGCTACATCTGCTCCTCTGTCTGTAGTAGCACATATCAACAAGCTAATTTTGCATTCAAGGCAGCAGTCAGTCCTATCATACAGTTGCAAAGTGCACAGCTATAAAGTGCCTATCTGAAAATATTGTCAGTTCCTTTTTGTTCACTGTTCAAGTCATTTCAGAAGTGAAACAAGCCAGACAATAAATGAAGACTGACTTTGAAATCCCTATAAATTTAAAATACCTAAAAGGACATGCTTAATATGGCATACATCTACCTGCATGACAATTTTCAAGCCGTGAAGACAGCAACATGGAATTTATATGTTATTTCACAAAAGAATAGTTTGGGCCCACAGTTCACATAGCTTGGAATTTAAAGAGCATACTGTTTTCATTGATAAAATACCCAGTAACTCACTGTAGGCTGATTTATATTTGAGTGAATTTTAAACAATTTGAGATTACAGATGCAGATATTATGAAAGGGATTGGACAGATAAATAGTTAAGATAGTGTTGGCATAGGAATGGTGGTACTGTGGTATGGCAGCATCATCAATACATTTTAGCAATCTGTATGTTTGCCAGAACCCTTTTCCCCTGTGGAAAACCACCATTTTAAGTCTTACATGCTAAGGAAGCTCAAAGAAAAAAATGTCATTAAAACCATCTAGGGAGAACTGTAAAAATCTTTTGGAAAAGGCACTCTTTACTGCATAGTTTTGAGAATCTTGCTGACTCAATAGCTATGATTCAGGGAAAAATAGACTTGAAAATCTGAGAATTTAATAAGTGAAACCAGTATGAGTTATTTAGCATTCACACTAATAAACAAGAATAGCAGCTGATTTTTGGCCATACCTGAATTCTGTCTAGAAATACATTTTTTTTTCTTAGAAGGAACCGTACTTAGGGCCTGATTCTGTAACTGGATTCAGTACCAGTGCAGATGGCAAACAGGTATAGGAACCTGCCCACCTGGGGATCCATTTGCCTTAGTGGGAAATTTCACATATTGTATGTCAAGCTCTGATCCCTATTCAATGTGCTACTTGCACAACACAATTAGAGGATTTTTTTTCCAAAGGGCAAGATAAATTAGGTTATTGCTACCCCTAAATTAACCCTTTAGTTATATTTAACAAGGCTAAACATATTTGTCTTGCTCCCTCTCTAACATAGAGAAGCATCCTATGAATCTGCATTCACTACCTTTACCCCCAATAGTGCATTGCTATTTTCATTTAAAATAGAGCAGTCTCCACAGTAAGAATAAAATGTAAATAAATGACAAACAGGGAAGTAGTGACCTAGTGGAATTTGTGACAGAGAGACCCACTGGTGGCAACTGGCAAAGGGCGCACTGTTCCTTACAAGCAACTCCTGTCTCAGAACTGATGAGCTCACTACATCTAATCAGGGAGTCAAACAAGTATGGATTTTGGTTTAGTTTAGGTTTGGGTTCAGTTACATTAAGTGTGTTCAGGTTCAATTCTGGTTCAAGCATCAAAAATAACAGTTGGTTACTGGTTTGAACTGGTTCAAATCAAATGTCAATTTTATTGAAAGTAAATTAAAAAGAGAGAGCTGACACTTTGAAACTATTTTGATGTCTGACCATTTACTTAGTTTTTATCTTTAACTTTACCTGAGTTTTCTTAGTGTTTTTGTCCTTAAAGGAACAATTTGGTTGATTGAATTAAAATAACATTTTCTAATATTTGCTATAACACATTGGACCACTCAGATGGGAGGATACGTTAGAGTTTGGGGCATGGTTCCTGCCCCAAGTAGGGCCACTGCAGGAAAGAGTTGCCCAAGGCATTGGAGAGAGGTGGGAGAAGGCCTGTCTAAGAGGGAGAAGTGTTGGTGAACCATTACCTTTTTCCTTGGGTTCCTTTGAGTTATTGTTAACTTCTAGGACCAGGGAGCATTCTTCTTTCCTCAGGGGAGTCTCAGACATGTTACATCTCTAGGTCTCCCTGCAGCCTTATGTGCAGGCAGATCCTGAGCTTCCCCTCTCTCTCCTTCTGTTCTCATTATACTGGGGCAGGGTATTTATCCATGACAGGTAGCACCTGAGGTCTCTACTGAACGTTTGTAACTTATCAACACTCATGGTGTGATGTGTGTATGGGTCCTATTTAAGGAATAATGTAACTATATTGAAAGTTATATCCTTATGGTCTTGGAGTGAAAGTCACCAGGGAATGACGATGGTCCATTCAAGCGACCCCTCCCTGACTAGCCAATTACGTAATGTATTGTTCAACTGTGTACCTTTGCATCAACCCAGAAAAGTCAATGGACAATCATCAAAGACAAATCATAAGCATCAAA